ATGGTGTTTTTCCCACTCACACTCGAAACCAAGACCGATCGCTCCAAAATCCAGAATCATAAACTGCGCCACTGAGTCGCTACAGCCACACTTTGTTTTACAGAGATAGTGAGGTGCAGTATAACACAGTGGCATTTGAGGTCATCGGTCCTCTTTACTAGTGTTGATAGGAAAAACATTCACTGGGAGGCAGGTACATTTATCTGAGTTCCAGACTATGCCCGACGTACATTCTGGATTCCACTCGAAGACACTATCCATCATTACTATCAAAGGAATATGAGTGGGTTTTAAATTCGTTCTGCCCTTTATCATTAGTATGAAACAACCAGACAGTCATATTGGTCATTGTACTTGTTAAAAATTGAAGTTTCAAGTACAAAAGTATTACAGCATATTTTATTTACTCAGTTACTCAGATGATCTCAGAGAATTACTGTATGAAATATCCGTGCGTGTTATTGATGATAGCATGGCAAAACTATATGTTGTGGTCAGTACCCAGGCTCTAATACTGTTGGGCAAGTTGGCAAAAAGAAATCAATTAAAAGTAAAACAAAGATGGAGTCATTCAGCACTGGAGAGAAAATTGGTGTTCCTTACATTGCGTCTGAAATAAACAGCGTAGACAGAGGTCCATGGTCTAGTAACAGCCTGGATGCAAAACAACGTGATCTGTAAGAGAGTTCAAATTAACTGATGTCCCGCCTCTGACGAGTCAAAGTTAACGAAATCATACTAGTATCTAAAACTAGATCCAAAACAAATTATCTAAACAGAGATCTAACCTGATTTAATAAATTTTGATTTAGTAATTAGTTTTTATTTAAGTCAAAGCAGTGACTATTATAAGGCACCTGTTATCCGTAATGATTACACTCATCCTTAGCAAAAATTTTGCCTGGTTAACTAGTTCACTAGTTACTAGCCGGTCCCAAGCCCGCATAAAGAAGGAAAGGTTGGGAATAAGGGTAGCAACCGTACCCCGTAAAACCAATTCAACCGCTACAGGAACTTCAAAGCACAGACAAAATATAAACGAAATTATTCCTCTCTGGAATCGGAAAGACGAAATGAAGCTGGTTGGTGAAAGCCTTCGGGAAGCCAGCTGGTCTATGTGTCTCCTCTCTCTCGATGTTTGAACCTACCAAAGCTGCCCAGATTGGGAAAGAGATGGGAAGGTATAGCATAGAAGTGCTAGGAATCTGCAAAAGCAGATGGAATGGGAGTGGACTCTCCAAACTGTCAACTGCAGAGTCAACAATCTAATCTACTCCGATATTGTCACCCAGACGACAAACATGAGCACACTGAGTTTTCGAGTGACTGTCATAATGCCACCAACAACATCAAAGACTCTCATGCAGTGGGAACCGATCTCCTCCTGCTTGATCATAACAGAAAGATTCAACTCAAAAGGAAGGAAAGTCTCAATCGTACAATGCTACACTATACGCCTACAAATAATACAGAAGAAGAGAAAAAGGAAGAATTCTAAAGACATCTGCAATCAACACTGGACAAGGCCTCAGTTGGCGATATCAAAATTCCAATGGGTGGCATGAATGCCAACCTGGGAGCGAACAACACAGGAAGAGAACTGACCATGCGTCGAAAAGCTGTCGGTGAAATAAACGAGAATGGAGAATTGTTTGCAGACTTCTGCACATTCAACGACTTGGTGGTCGGAGGCACTATGTTCAAGCACAAGGATATTCACAAAGCGACATGGATTTGATTTCACCGGATGGACACAGTATACTAAAAAACAGATCGAATTCATCTCAATGTGAAGAAAGTGGAGACGCAGTTAGCCTACTTGACACAAGATCAAGAAGAGGAGCAGATGTAGGCTCAGACCACACATTATCTAGTGCAAGGAACCTTCCATATCAAGTTGGAAGCCTTCAAGGAAGTTGGTGATAGACCACAGTTCAATTACAACACTCGGAAACTGAAGGACGAAACTACAAATTACATCTTCACGTCAGCCAGCCATCAAGACAAAATGGGATATATCAAGGAACGTCCCTGAAGAAACCTGTGTGAAAGAACACTGGAAGTCTTTGAAAGCTATGTTGAAAGAAACCTGCACAGTCGTATTAGGAAGGAAGAAGAAAGAATATAAGGAACGGATCTCGACGGATACCTGGAAGCTGATAGAGGAGAGGAGGATGGTGAAGCAGAAAATAAACCAGTGCAGTGCAAGGATGCTCAACGACAAGATAAACTGAGTACAACGTATGAAGCACTAGACTGGACAAAGAGGTGGAGAAGAGTGCACGCAAAGACAAAAAACACTTCTACGAAACACTGGCAAGTGAAGCAGAACAGGCTGAAGACTGGTAGGAGAGACCTGACAACATTGTATCAAATAACCAGGTTGCTATCCGGGAGAGAAAAGATCAACGCAGACGAAACCACTAATAGATTATGAAGGAAATATAATTATGAAAGAAGAGAAGCAAAGAAAACGATGGGCTGACCACTACAAAAAGCTTCTGAATCCACCACCACCTGCAGCCCAGTCACAGAACTACAAGTGAACATAAGTCCTCCAACAAACGTCGAAGCCGTGAGCCCCATAAAGCTACTGAAATGCGGGAAAGCAGCATGACCAGATGGAATCCCGCAAAAAGCACTGAGAACAGACACAGAGACAACAGCGGACATGCTCACACTACTATTGCAGAAGGTCTGGAAGGAAGGGAAGGTACCTGCTAGTTTATTGGAAGAAGAACTACCTTGTCAAACTCCCGAAGAAGAAAACCTAAGGCTTTGCAAGAACTGCCGAGTAATCATGCTACTGTCTAGCCAAAGCAAAATATTAAGCCACATCATCCTAGAGAGACTAGAAGATGCACTGGATTTAAACTACGACCGGAACAGGCTGGATTCAGGAAGTACAAATCATGTGCGGATCAAATTGCAACGCTACTCATCATCATAGAACAGAGCATAGAGTGACAGTCAACTCTCTACCTCAACTTCATCGACTTTGAAAGGGTCTTTGACAGCGTCGACCGACAAGTAATTTGGCAGGCAGCTGCTCCAACACTACGCAACACCACAAGTGTTTATCAACCTCATTCAACAACTATATGTAGACGCCACATGCCAAGTAATTCACAATCGGAATCTCAGTGATGCCTTTGAAGTGAAGACAGGAGATAGGAGTAAAACAAGGCTGCCTAATATCCCCCATGATATTCCTGATTGTGGTGGACCGGATCATGCAGCAAACAGTGAGGAGCGAGAAGAGGGGGATACGCTGAACCGGGAAAGGTTCCTAGAAGATCTGAATTTCGCCGATGATTTGTGTCCAATGTCGCACAAACCTGAAAATCTAAAGGCAAAACTAATACGTTGACAGATGAGGCAGGGCAGAGAAGACGGGACTTCCTTCAGGTGAAAGTAGAGAAGACGGAGGTGATGAAGATACCCAACCAGCAGCAGCATCAACAAAAAGCACTAATCACCACCAACGGGAGAAACCGAAAGGAGATAGTCTCTTTCACCTACCTACTTAACTAGGGAGCATCGTTTCAACTACAAGCGGTGGCATAGACGAGGACGTTAAAGCCAGCCAGGATCAGAAAAGCAAGATAAGCGTTCATTAACCTGAAACCAGTGTGGAGATCTTCTATACTCAGCATAAAGCGTGAACAAGATCCGGATTTTCAACACTAAGTCAGTCAAGTCAGTGCTTCTATATGGTTTAGAGACTCGGCGCGTTACGAAAAATGTTTACAAAAAACTACAGGTGTTCATCAACAACTGCCTACGCTCGTTACTGAATCTTAAGTGGCCAAAAAAGTAAGAATAGGCAATAAGTAACTATGGCAACGAACCAACCAAGAACCTGTCGCTGAACAAATATGCAGAAGGAAGTGGAGATAGACTGGGCATGCACTGAAAAGACCATTCTGGGACATCACGCGCCAGGCACTCGAGTGGAACCCAAAAGGGGAAAGACAAGTTAAGAGTCCGAGTTGCGGGTGACAAGGAGTAGATTGTGTGGGAAAGAAAATGGAGCTTGTGGACTGCCGTGGAACCAGGTTCAAAAGATTTCAGAGAACACAGTGCGCTGGAGACGTGCTATGTTCCACTAGGAACTCTGAGGGACAAATAACAAATAATAATTCGCAAAAACTTTGTTGTGTCGGTTGGAAATGCACACAAACTAATGCCTAAGGCATCATATTTTCATATGATTTTCCTTAGTTGGGAATAGGATTAGGCGTAAGTTGTTGAGTGCATCATTTTGAAATCATTCTGCATAAAGTCGCTAGAGAAAGACTTAGTATTCACCACAAATTATGAACTTCAGTGACTGAATTTGATAATGATCATTATATTCTTTAAAACAACTTTTTCTTCAGCTTACTTCACTGATCTTATAACATAGATCAAGTCTAAAATTTCAATTCATACACTCTGGTTAAGGAAGCTTTTGAAATATAAACAAGAATGTTATAGAGTAATTCATGTTCCTATGCACAAAATTAATACTGGTATAAACGACGCTAGCCAGTTACCATAACACCATTCAGTGAAGAAAATTAAGAGTGGAAACTACTTAAGCATTTCGACGAAACAGTTCATGCTGACTGAGAATATGTTCTGTAGCAGTTTAATCACTTCAAATGTAGAGACTCGAAGGATTTAGAAAGTGATCGAGAATGTTTAAAATACGGTCAATATTTTCAGTGTTAAAAGAAGATATATCAGGTTAACATTCTGAAAGTTTAGTAATGTGTGGTAGAATATATGGACTTTTGGCTTCAACTAGATGTGGATAAATCTTGGGCAAAAATAAATCCTACATTTCAAATAAGTGGGATTTTATGACCCAATATGTTAACTGTGTTTAGTAAATAAATGGTTCCAGTGACTTATTAAAATTTTCACAGTTCGAGCTACTGTTAGATACAAGAATGAAAGTAAAAGAAAATTTATTTTTTGTCCAAATTTTATGTATACTTTCTGCTGACTAAAAATTAGAAAAAGAAATCGATTTTGAAAGTCTGGTTTGTATAAATGCTAGGAAAAGACTTGATGTTCGCCAAGAATTTACTCTTTACTTCTATGTGTGTTGGCTTTCTGGAGAGAAGTGAATTAAAAGTAAATAACATCAACCAAGTATGCATACAATTTATTACCTTATTATGTGATCAATGCAATGGTCAAAGGCAAACAAAAAATTTACAGTAGTTTGTGCAGCACTGACTATTTCTTGTGCAAGCATAATTGGAGTGAATACATTTCTGACAAATTCCAAAGCCCAATGTGTCATATTCACAACGTAATTTACCACAACAATGACGAACATATGTTCCTGTACAAGGAGCTCCAATATTTTGGCAGCAATGATTCACTAAATTACAATTAAATCATAAAACAGTAAATGAACTATGTGAATATGATAACTATATGTGTTTAAGGACACAATTTGATGAGATGTGTTTTTCTTGTTGACAAGTAAACAGCCCGTTTCAATATGGCAAACAGGCTTAACAGAAAGAAAAAGGGATGAAAAACAGCCATTCTTATCAAAATAATGAAAGCATATATGGACCATTCATCGATAAAAAAGCACTAAACAGTGTGAGGAACGTTTTACTAAAGTCAAATAACCTATTTCAAACGTAAACAACGTGATGAAAAGACGGAGATTATCTGAAAAATCTGATATCTATTAATTTGTTTGTATGTTTGGACACATACACAGGGAGGAACAATCGTGACATCCAATTAAGAATCACTGAACATGTGCTTAAATGGCTGCAGAAACAAATGACCTCTAACAGTTTAATAAGCGCAGATGACAAACGTCCTTCCTCATCGACAGCAAAACACATTAGAAACTGATATGAAGACAACCTTTACTGTACTGTATAGATATGGTCAAAAAAGAATACTTAGATTTGTCGAAGCACTTGCTATCCATAAATTCAAACCCCTTCTATGTATTCAGAAACAAGTTATACTTATAGCAAATCTACTATAGTAGTATCAAGTTCAACTGTTGATAGTATTAAGGGTGATTTGACCTTTTATTACTTTTTTCTCCCCTCTTGTTTTCGTTCTCTCCTTATCATCTTTCTTAATTATAATTCCATTGGCTTAATTAACTTTCCTAAGTTATATTTAAATTGCTCGACAAGTTCATGCATGATCAGTGTTCGAAATGTATAGCGCTAATACATTACATGTTTTAGATAACCTCCGTCTTCTCATTACGTTGCTTAAATTCATCAAGGGGACTAATTGCTTCAAGTTTATATTTCAAACTGTTGGTAGAAAAATGGCTGTCTAGAGTAATCTGTTCTGATTTTTGTATGTCTACATTCCATGGAGTTTTTTGACAGGCAATCCCTAAAAGTAGACAAGGTTAGTCTTTGTTGAAGTTGTTTTTCTCATAATTTCAGTGAAATATCCTAAAAGGAATTCTACAAAATCATCAGTACCACAGGTCATAAACGGCAGCAAAACGATATGATTACAGGAGGATGTAAATCATTCGGTTTTATGAGAAAATTACCCATCACATGATATAAGCAAAAATTTAGAACTATCATGTAGATGAAGAGGTTTGACTTTGAGCGTAATTCACCATGATGATTTTAAAATGGTTTGAGATTGATGACGATCCATGAAATGGAATTTATAAGAGTTAGCAGAAGGTCAAATAAATAATAAAATGGTACTTCTCTGGATACTTGAAATATGTTTACAGTTTAAAACCACTACAATTTGAAACTTAATCCAGGACAGAGTTTACACTTATTATTAATATTTTCTCGATGTGGTTGTAAGTTCGTTAAGAGGCTAATGAAAAGGGTCAGCTGATACTCAGTCTGAAAACGTGAAGATCAGATCCTTTTTACCCTGTGAGTGTCAATTCATCTAATATTGGTGTCATAGTATATGTATGAGTGATAACGACTCACATTAACCTTTTTTTCAAAAACTGTCACCAAAGCATGAAAACAACATCATCTATTTTTTCGATAGCACGAATGACTGTCAAATAATGAAGTGTAAGGTTCATTTTTCTATCTCTCCTTAAGAAGAGTTAAACAGAAATCTCTTCATAGTTGGATATGTTTTGTGATCTCCCTGCTTTCATATGAAGTAACTGAGTAAGCTAATAACTAAGAACATTTCACTCAGTGTTATATTTGCTACAATATCACAGGATTACAAATAAAAGCTACCATCATTAGTCAAGCAAATGACCTTAAACTATCAATATAAATGTGAACATATATACATTCAAGATAAACATAAGTGGAAAGAATATAATGATTCGTTTTCAAAGTGAAAAAAATACAAAAGTGTTAACTTTTTAATGAAAGTGACTTATTTCTACTAACAAATGACATCTCATTGGTAAACAATACTATAAATACTACTAGTACTATACAGTTTCGGTTTCTGCAGATGAACCTTTATTCAGAGCACGAATGGGAATGTTTTGAGACATAATTCAGGATGTAGTTTGTTTGTATTAATTCAATACTGATAGGTTATTAGTCCACATAGTTGCAGTTATTGGTTATACACATTTACGTAGTTACTAGTTGTGACCGCTATTCTTTAACTTGACTCAGTATCAGACCATCGATTCTCAACACCAATATCTTTAAGATTGATTTCAACCAACTTTAGTGCTAGACTGCTTTGGCTTGTTAAAAAAGACAATTTCTTCTGCTTGTTACACTTATAAGGACTAAGGCGAACATTTCCGCAATTTCTGACTTTTAATTGGTCATTTAAATGGACATGCGGTATCACACTGAACTGTACTAAAATTCCTATTCCATTCACAAACTACCTGTTCAAAATATTTTTATCAAACTGAATCTTTATAGTCATATTGCATAGTTATGGTAAATGCATTTATTCGTACTACATTAAAGGACTTACCCGTAAGCATCAGTGAAGCGAGAAAAATTACGAAGGACGGTGAGCTCAGAGAGTGAAAACACATTGAAAGTAAAGTGTTTACCATTCATGTTTTGAATAACGTGGATTATATGTACTTAATTAACAGCCAATCATAACTCTCTTCATATTAGATTGTATTTAGGGCTGAAGAACAGTTTTCCACAACTTAATTTGTTGTCAGCCAATGAAAAGTGATGCTGAAACTTGTTGAGAATAACAACACTAGGATTAAATAGGAGTAATACTGACGGTTGCTAAGCGCGCTTATTTGTCAGTCTGATAATAATTCCTAAGGGTAACTGTGAGGTAAATAAATTTAAAGGTACTTGGAAAATTGGAAGATAATATAACATTCCTTTCTTTTTTATACAACCAGTTAGTCAACACTGGTACATTGCTGAGGTTAGGATGTACCATATTTTGTCAGACAGTCCCTGTGAGGAAAATATAGTACTTATCAAGCATATTTGACTTACTGCAATGAAGCTACTTAAATCATGAAACTGAAGGGAAGTATCTAGTAAAAATGATGGTGGTGTTACGTCATAACTATCTATCAACAGATTTTCTGAAGAAGAAAGGCACTAGAGGAGACTAGTAGCCTTTTTAAAAGACATGGCTTTGAGTTTGTTATGAAGTCCTCTCTGTAATTTGGAGTAGAGTCACTTTTCAAGCTCCTGACGCTTATGGGCAAACTCGGGATGGTAAGGTAAGGTAATCAGATGAGTTCCGGAATGGTATGACTCCTCTTCCCACTGTCAAACCATAAAACACAATACAATTTACTTTTACCTACTGAGATCAAAATATTTGGATTCGACTTTTATCAAATTATAATTTATCATATTCTGTATATAGTATTGCGCGTACTTCAATCCCTTCCATTGGTGTTTAGTGATGACAAGAAGGAAAATACATCAAGTGGTTGGTAAATTTACTTGCTGTTATGGTGATATGATTAAACTGCAATCGTCAGAGGACAGATAGCTTAAATTATCCTGGATCAACTCTCAGTGTAGTTGTACTGTAGTATTTTCTGAAGTTACAAATTGCTCTGAGTAACTTTTCAGGATTACGCCTATGTCATCGTTAGACAACATGGTTAATGTCATCTTACTGAAAATAAGTTAAATATCTACTTAGCAGTAGATCTTTGTATACGCTAGTCACTTCCATTTCTGTGACTGCAATTTCACTTGAAGCTTGGGTGTAAGCTGGTAGGAGCGGTGATATCGCTATCACTTGTACTGATGACACACATTTGATCGAAAATTCTCATATTTAAGAAGACTATTGGGTAAGCTAACATTTCGAAAATGATAAAATTACTCTTAAAACATCTAAAATACACAATATACAGTTCTCTGAAGTGTGATGATTCACGGCTATCTCTAACTTACAAATTCAAAAAGAGTGTTCACAAGCCGATAGTTTGAAAGTAGGTGCTTCTTTAAATTATCATTATCCATCTATTACAATAGTAGAGGAAAAATCATTCGATCTCACGGATGGTGCTCATGTTTGAAATTATCTTAAATCGGATGAAAATGGGATTGTTTGTCGATGTAGGTTTATTATGCTTTCAAAAACTAACAGTTAAGAGATTGAAATATAATACTGTCATTCAACACTTGGTTATAAGAAATTACCAAGCTCGAAAGACAGATGGTTAGAGTATTATATCTGAGGGTTCTGTGCAAAATTAATATACTATGTGTGTTCTTACAAAGTCACTTCACTGCAACCTGACTCAAAGCTCAGTTTTGTAATCAGGTTTCCCGTTCTTTCTCATCCCACAATTTGTAGTTGTTATTATTGGTTTCACATGTATCTTTTATCTTAAAATCAAATTGTAATAGTGAGATTTTTATGAATCAAGGAGTCCCGTCAGTAAGTATCTGAGGTTGGAAACACCATGATCGCCTCCTTCCCTCATGCATATGATCTTTTACAATGTTTTATGACAATCTAAAATTCATTGTTTCCATAAAGTTATCCAACATCTGATGAAATGAATTATGGATAGATTTAGCCTAAATTTTCTAAATTTGTGAATTGTTTATTTCCGGTTGTTATATGATTTCAAAGTTTGTTTTATGGTCCGTAATTTAGGTTCCAAACTGATTAGTTATTACTGAAATATGTATATCCATAATAGAAGAAAGGAAGTTTTAATATTCTTCTGTTTCATTTGCATTTTTATAGTATGATGAAGTAAGTAGAGTCATTGGAATGAATCGCCACTGCCGACCGCTGTCAATTAAACGCTTCTACAGGAAAAGGTGGTAGCCATTATTAAGTGATCTTTGGTGACTGGAATCATTCTACAGGAAGATTACCAATTACCTATTCGTAGCAGATAATGAATAGAGGAGTTGGAAAAGTAACCTTTAACAACATGCCCTTTTACATATTATTAAAAAGTCCAGTTGATCAACGGAGGACACAGTATCAACAATGATCTGCGGTGTTTTTGAGTTGATAGCTGGTCAATTGTCGATTGAAATATAGAATACTTTTGTTACCAGCCTGAGTCCTGAGAAATGAAGTTAATGTGTATGACATTATTTTTATGACTTCGTAAAAATGCGATACAACTTAACTACAGATGCATCTTTACACTGCCACATGAAAGAAAATTCCGTGTGTCCTTCATTACGAAACAACCCTTCTACTAGGCTGCGGTTCGCAACACTTAATGAACATTTAGTAAGCTGAACACAAGATGATGACAGATGAATAACAAAAAGACAACATAGTTAATTATAAATATGCAGTAGTCACACCTCACAGTCGAATTATCAAAGAGTTCAAATAGTACAACATGGAACGATGATAAATGGTTAAGAAAGAGGCCTGTAAAAATAGCTGTAAAACAATGCCATGAAGTTAATTGTATAAAATTCCTTTTCCTTTCTTATGACCAAATGGGTTTGTTTTGATAAATGTAACTATCTGCCAAAACATACTTTACTGATCTCTACATCTTTTGTTTGAGCCACTGAGAAAAATAAAACAGTAGATCGATAACAGCTACTTATTACTAATAGTATACAAATATGATTTGGCTATTATCACAGTGGAATAGCAATATCTATTTGTAAATTGTATCGCTGATTATGATGATTAATCCCGTTTGTTGATTTTTATCATATTGTCATGTCAAGTGTTACTCTATAAAGGTGAATCTAATAGATCCATCGCCATTTGTTCATCTCCACGTAAAAAGCTGCTCCCTGCTGATGCATAACTGAAGTATTATTGTCGGTTCATAAGATAAAATGTGCTTATTGATTGTCGGTTTATCAAGTGAAGTTTTACTTAAGATGGTTGTGGATATTGGTGGGGGAAATACATGAGATTTGTTCTCTGAGAGTCCATAGTTGACCTTGTAACTCTTGTCGCTTGACTTGATAATGATATTAGAGCTGACTTTGTATAGAAGTACTTGTTAACGTTATAACTATTTTTACTTTAAAAATGTATAAAACATAGGGATTTTCGAAATATCGATAGATACGTTTTGTTATGTATCTGTTTCTATGAAAAAATATTCCTTGTGTTTCTATGTTAGAGACGTGTTGTCACTGAAGTCACGTTTAATTAGTGATTTAATTAATCAGTTTACAGTTACTTTAGAGATGATTGATTTTCTTTCTTCAGTTTCTGTGTTCAAGCATTTATTCATTTCTGTTCACTCTAATTACAAGGCTTTCGGTGTCTTCATTAGTAACTTTTAAGTTTACCCTCTAATATATTTCAATACTACTATTTATTGGTATACTTGTATTATCCTTTGTTTCGTTGGATCGAATTGTTCGACCTCTGTTGGCACATATGCTTCTATGCCGATGCCTCAATACATCGATACCAACCAAATTACCATAATTAAATTCAGCAATATCGAGACATCCGCATAGGAGCCCATATGCCAACAGAGGTAGAACAATTCGATCCAATAAAACAACGGAGAATTACAAGTATATCGATAAAAAAGTAATAACTGCTACCCATTGCACAAGAAGTGGCTATCGTGCCTTCGTGGCCTAGTGAATAACGCCTTAAGGTTTGAAGTGATGGATGCCAGGTTCGAGTCTTAGTGGGAATAACATCACTCACTGGGGTACAGGTACATCCAGCTGATAAGTGAGTCCCAAATAGGAGGAAGCGCGCGTCCTGGATTCCTCTGCTAGCCACAACCAACCAGTTTTCAGTACTTTCGCAATTCAGGTTCTGTTATGAGTTTATATCTGTATTTGGACGAAGAATCATGTTACGTGTTGTCCTTATACAAAATCTTATGAACCATTCCATTAGCCAAATGACTAAATGATAATGCAACCTCATGAACAACATTTTTACTTTAAGGTATTTTTGGTAAAGATCGCTTGCTGATACGGTTTTTCTCAACACAGATCATATATTGCACTTAATATGTGTTCAAATGAGAAGTTAAAAATCTTGTACTGTTTCAGAAAGGATATTAGCAATTTATACAACGTTCAATTTAACTGCTCATTTAAGGCATTTCTGAACTCATTGAAGGGTGACTACTTCAGATCGTTGCATGTAGAAAAACACTAACAGCTATGTATCACTTATTAAGAGTCAGAGGCACAGATTATTTTGAAATTCTTAAAATATCACTGTATTGAAATTTCAGCCTGGGATAAGGTGGACAGACTGTATTCTAGTATTTATGCTGCGGAAGAAAATAAACTTTATGAGGAGGCTTTTGCAAGTGTGACTTGCTTGGAGATGAGATTTCCCAAAGTTTTGATAAAAAGTCCTGGCCAGTGCGACATACAAAGTCAGACGTGAAGACAAATACTAGATGAAGGTTGCGTTGTGTAGCGAACTGAAAGGAGTAGGAAGATCTAGACCATCGGATCCCAACGAAGTACCTTAATCGCAACATGCTGGCCATGGAATTTGAAGGGCTTGGGTTTGGTACCTCATGGGAGAGTGGGTTCTAACGTCTGAGGAGTG